AACGTTAGAATATTTTTAAGGTTTCTATTTCGAATTATATACAAAACAGGTGTTTCCGCATCCGGTGTGTCTGTCTGTGATCTAATAGTAATACAACCGGTTAAAAATCAATAATACCAACTTTAAAAAATTAATATTACTAACAATAATTAAAAATTTTCTTTTGGTGTTTTTTTTTTTTTTTACCGCCATTACGCATTAATTACAGAAAGGAAAAAAGAAGAAAATTACGGTTAAGTAAATAAAAAAAATTTTATTATTAATTTTGTAATTACATTATATATTATTAATCTTATTGTTTTTTTTTTTTTTTTAATAGGTGGTATCATTACATCATCATTATTATTATTAATTTTGTCGGTTTTATGTTTCAGATATGAATTTTATTATTATGTATTGTCAATAATTAAAAAAAAAGTACAGCCTATAATGAAATCAAAAAGACTGGATTACATTTGGTTTTTATTAATAACCTTTTTATTAAAATTAACAATAGTTACGGGTAAGTTTTTTCCATATTATTTTATTTATTATGTATCCATGTACATAATACGAGAAAAAAATTTTTTATTTTTACGCTTTTCAACGTAATAAATTAAATAAGAGGGAAAGTTTTCTTATTTAAAAAACTCATATTAACCTTTATGCAATTGCTTCCGTTTATTTTTTTTTTAAATAAACACCGTAATATTATTATTATTATTAATACGCGTATAAAAAAAAAATTGAAATTTATTTTATTTTTCTTAGTTATTAATAAATAAATTTTTTTTTTTACGTTATTAAAATTAATAGGTTTTAAGAGAAAGTTATAATAGAAAATTAATACCTGTTAATTTCATCATTAATAATAATATTACGACAAATAATTTTCTTTCTTTTTTTTTTTCCAATATTAAAAAATCATTATTGCAAATTATTATTGTTTATGGTTATTATTATTATTATTATTATTATTATTATTATTATTATTATTATTATTATTATTATTATTATCGTTTATTATCAATTAAATATATTTTTTTTTATAATTACAACAAAAATGATAAGAAAAAAATCGATTTTACTATACGCGCGTTAATTTAAATTTAGAAATTCTATGTTACCACGTTTGGTAAATTTGATAAATACCCCTTTTTGTTTCGTAACGCACTTACACGTGTTTACACTACAATTTACACGTGCACATTACTTACATACACGTGCTTCAATGGAAAATTACGCGATTTTTTTTATTTAAATAAATTCTTTTATTAAATTCTCGCGTACAAAAGTTAAAATTTGGTTCATTGAAAAGTATTTGAATGACGTCATTAATTTCGAAACGATTGTAAAATAAAAAAAAATTTTCGAATCGTTTAGAATACTAGTCAAATTTTTATAATCTGATTAAAATTTGTTGAATAAGGGAAATCGAACAAACAAATTCAATAAATATTTTAAAAAAGTTTATAAATAATAAGAAGAAAATTTTACAAATTATTATATTTTTAAATAAAATTTTTTATATAAAATAAATTTCAATTAATACAATAAATTCGCCACAAAAACCTTCTCGGGGATAATTTAATAAATAAATAAATTTTTTTAAATTTTTTTTTTTACGTTTTCCCCTCGAAAATAAAACGATTGATTCGTTTAATTAAAATAATAATATTGTTAATAATTTTTATTTAAAACCGATCTAACGATTTCTTATTTGTATCAAACACGTGCAAGAATGTGTGAAAGTAAAATCAGAACAAAATAATAATAATAAAATTACCATAGACGTTATAAAAAACGATTGCAATCATTTTTTTTTTTTTATTGTCTTTAAAAGCATTTGACAGTTACTTTAAATAATAATAATAATTAGAAAATAATTTTAGGTATAACCCCCTCAACGGTGAAACCCACACAAGTGAAATCGATGATAAATTAATTTTACTATTTTAAATCCATTAAAAAGTGTGAATAAATATTATTGCATATATATTAATCAGTGCATAAAAATATAATTAATCTACTTTTTATTAAAATCAATCAATCAATCATCACTTAATTAATTTTAATAAAAATAATGATAGTTATAATAATAATAATAATAATAATAATAATAATAATAAACGGGAAACATCAGAAAAGGTGTATGAAAATCATAAAAGTTGTTAATATTTAATCTCGCTTGAAAATTTATATATTAAAATATAAAAAAAAAAAAAAAAAAATCGATCGATTGATTGATTTGAAATGCATAAAAAACAAATTATTATTATTATTATTATTTTAAAAACAATCAATCGTTAATTTGATACGTAATTATTATCCATTGTAAATATTATTATTATTATCATTAATTAAATGATTTGGGAATTTTTTTCTTATATCATGTTTTATATAAAAATTAGTCACACTTTCGAATTTTTTTTTATTATAATAGAAAATTTTTCCCTTATTATTTGTTTGTTTTTTTTTTTAATAATAATAATAATAATAATAATAATAATAATAATAATAATAATAATGAAAATATTGATTGAAGTGAATGGTTTAAAAAAAAAAAACCGTTATCGGCCCTCATTTCCTTTTTTTTTTTTTTTTTTTTTTTTTTTTTATATAAAAATCGTTAAATCATTTTTTTAATTTATTTAACATAATGACGTAATAGAATTATTATATTTATAATAATTAAAAGAAAAGTTTTAGAAAGATCTAGAAAAAAAAAATAAAAAAAAAATCAATGGGTAATTAAAAAAAAAAAAAAATGGCCGTAACTTTTCGAGGAGAAAATATAATTTTTTTTTGTTTGTTTGTTTGTTCGTTTTTTCCAGGTTGCAAATTTCATTCCTACGGTGATTATTTAAGGTTCGTTAGAGTGACGGAAAATACACCGATCCACGAAACGATATTAACGGTGGATGTTTACCCCCGTCACAATTTAACATTACTACCCGTCGAAAGATTAGAAGATGCATCTTATTTTGGATTTAGGGAAATAAATACGACGACAATAGGAATTATATTATTAAGATCTTTGGATGATATCGTCGATAATGATAATCCGCAAAACGTATTAAAATTTAAAATAGCTTGCGATTATAACAACGGATTAGATACGGTGAGTTTTTTTTTTTTTTTTTTATTAAAATTTTCTTTTTAAAAATGGTTTTAAAAAAAAAAAAAAATTTAAAAAAATTGTAAAAACCGCATATAATTATTTGTCCGGAGAAAGTAATTTAATGAAAATTTTTTAAGGCGGCGACATTGAAATGTATAAATCTGAAAGTTTGATAGCAAAAAAAAAAAAAAAAGATTTTTTTGTTTCACTTTTAGAAAGGAGATCTAACATATTTAGTGTGGGTTCTCACATGTTAAACTATCCAATATAACACACAATGAAAGAGAAAACAAACATAAAAAAAAAAAAAAAAAGCGTTTGCGCGCCATTATAACAAAAATCACATCGAAGAAAGTGTATCAAAAAAAAAAAAAAAAAATTTTCTTTCATTCCGCTTCGTATCCTACGAATTGTAGTAAAAAAGTTTTTCTTTTTTTTTTTTTTTATTATTTAAACTGATGAGGAAAAAAAAAAAAAAACAAAAACAAAAACAAAAAACCCCCCGAAAAAGTTTAACCTTTCACACGTGTGAACTTTAAGGTCATGTTTAAACCTATGTGTAAAAATCTCATTCTACATAACATATTTTCAAAATGATCGGGTACATACACACGAGAGTTTAATTTTAATTATTCATTTGTCTTCGAGCATCCATTTTGTTTTTGATAGTAAACAATTTTTTAATTTTTATGAATGAATTTTTTCACATATTAAATCCGAATAACGTAAATTTTTTTTTTTTTAGGGTCATACCCAGAAAATGTAATACTAACACATTTGACCTTGCGTGACCTAGTAGACTTTCGGAAAATTTTTTTTAATAGAAAAAAAAAAAAAAAAATTTATTTCGTGCGAAAAGGTTGTGTTCGACACAACGATTTATCGTTTGTGAATGAATACCTTAAAGGTATTATTTGAACTAAATTCTCACGAAAATCTTTTTTTTTTTTAAGAATAAAACGGGGGAGAGGGAGGAGGAGGGGGAAGGGGAGGGAGGAGGGAAATTTGAATATTAATTTTTTTTTGTCTTTTTAAGAATTTTTTTTTTTTTTCCGTTTGTTTGTTGAAAAGTAATAATAATAAATAAAAGAAACCGCAAAACGAAAAAATTATTGAACCACTTTTTGAAAAAAAAAAAACGGACATTTTATCTATTTTTTTTTTTTTTTTTAAAAACTAAACCAGACCTTGTGATTTTTGATGAGAAAACATAAAAGATGTTGTAAGATTTCGAAAAAGAAAAGTAATAAAAAAAAAAAAAAAAAATTAATTTTCTGCAATGTGTTCGATGTTTTTTTATGTCAAAAAATTATATTATATATATATAATCACATGAAATTTTTTTTTCGATATAGAAAATAATAATCGGATCATCTTCTGACACGTCACAAAAAAAAATTGCATTATTATCTTCTTCGTGCTTTACGCTTTATCCATAGAAAAAAATAAAATTAAAAAAAAATTTTTTTTTTTTTTAGATTTCTACGTACATGTCCGTGACGGTTTACGTCGAAGATATAAACGATCACGCTCCACGTTTTCTAGATGTTCCTTATCATGTAACCGTTGACGAATTGACTCCGGTCGGTTTGACCATATTTCGTGGCATACGTGCAATCGATAGGGATAAACCAAACACGCCAAATTCCGACGTACATTATGCCATAGTCGGTGGAAACAAAGAAGGAAAATTTTCATTGGAAAGTAGTCACAGGCCCGATTTGATATTGAGAAAACCTTTGGATTATGATTCGGGGGGTACGGAATATGCGTTGAAAATAATGGCGTCGGATAGGGGAATCCCACAAAGGAATACAACGACGACTCTACGAATAAAAGTTTTAGATAATGATGATTTAAATCCACGATTTACAAGAGAACATTATAAAACTCAAATACTCGAATTTTATCCCATAACGGTGAGTAAATTCAAAAACTTTTTTTTTTTTTTTATTCGCATTCACACCCACTCACGCACTCACGCACTCACGCACGCACGCACGCACGCACAAATGGCAATTAATCGTCAGACAAATATAATTAAATAACTTTTTTTTTTTAAAAACTTTTTGAAGATAATTAACCGAAATCTCTCAATTAAAATCTGGTTGGGGTGGGGGGAAAGAAAGAAAAATTTTTTTTTCGAAACCAGGTCAACCGATCAATTTTAATTTGTTTTCTTTTTATCCCTTACGAAAAACGATACTCCCTAAGCCTCCCCTCGAAAAAAAAAAAATTTAACGACAGTTAAATCCTAGTCTCTGAATATTTCGAAGCAAAAAAAAAAAAAAAAGACGTTACGATTTTTTTTTTTTTTTTTTTTTTTTTTAATACCGTAAATAATATTTTATGTATTAATCTAATTATTTAAAAACATAAATAAAAATAAATTTATTAATATGAATGAATAAAAATAAAATAAATAAAAAAAACCAGGCGTCGATTCACCTGACGATGTGTTGTTGTTAAATTTTTTTTTTTTATTCGACCGCATGCTTTATTTTATTTATTTTAACGTCGTGCGACAAGTTTGCCACACTATTTTATGTCGCACATAAAAAAAAAAAAATTTTTTTTATTTTATTGTCAATAATAATAATAATAATAACTGAACGGAGGATTCATATCGATTTTTTATATTTATTAATAAAAATTAATTGATATTATTTTTTTAATAAAATCAACAGGCTAAAAATTACTTAATTTACTTTGGTTTTTCCTAATCATTATTATTATTATTATTATTATTATTATTATTATTATTATTATTAAACATAAAAAAAACAAATCGATAAAAATATTTCTAAGAAGGTTTTTTTTTTATAAATTTAGCCCGTTCGGTTAAAAGTCATTCACTTGTTTTTCATAATTTCCAACTCGTCGAAGTAGTCATTTGTGGTTATTTTTTTTTGCGTCTGTCTGTGTTTGATTATGCGTAAAACACGCACAGAGAAAAACACAAACGAATTCTCTTTTTCACACGCACGCACATACGCACAGAAAAAAAAATTCTTTCGCATAACGTTACGTTAACGATAATTTACGTAATTTTTTTTTTTCCAACGTTTAACGTGATTCTGATTAATAACCCCTTTAAATAATTTGATAAGGTTATTAATAGTAATAAATGATAATGATAATAATAATAATAATAATAATAAACGGATAATTTAATTTTTGAAACGATAAAAAAAAATGATTCGATTACAATGTCGTAAAATATCAACCGAGTAATTTTTTTTCGTAATTATCATGCTTGACAGAAACAAAAATAATCGTTCGATCGATCGATCGATCTATCGATCAATCGATCGATTTATTTATTTTTCAGGGTAATAAAATTCATAAAGAAATTCGTTTCAAACCACCGATATTAGCCTACGATTCGGATTTGGAAATAAACACTCCGGTTAAATATAGCATAACAACCGGAAATGACAAAGGTTATTTTTATATAGATCCCGTAAACGGAACTTTGTTTTTAGAAAAAGAAATCGATTTGGAAAAGGAATCTTTATTGATTGGAAATACGTTTAATTTACAAATACAAGCGTCACAGGTGAGAAAATTAATTAATTAATTAAAATTAATTATAAATTTTTATTTATTTATTTATTTTTCATCCCGAACAGATCGATAATCCGTTAAAAGCCGGATACGCGAGAGCGGAAATAAAAATCATCGATATCAATGACAACGTACCTGAATTCGAAGTCGATCTTTATAACATAAGCATTGTTGAAAATCTTCCGAACGGTTTTAGCGTATTACAAGTCATTGCCACCGACAAGGATCAGGTACGTTAATTTAAAAAAATTATTTGTTTTGAGTTTTATATAATATTTACAAAACGCACTTCTTCATCTTTTACAAATTTGTTTAAGAAATTCTATGGAAAAAATTTTTTTTTTTTTTTTTTTTTTTTTTTTCAAGGTTCGTGATTTTAAGTGAATAAAATAAATTTTAATAATGGTTAGAAAATGAGGTCGATTTTCTCTCTCTCTCTCTCTTTCGGAAAAAAAGTTTTTTCATTTTTCTTTTAAATTACCTCAATTTTAAACTTGGGAATTTAGGATCAAGGGCAAAAGATTCAGATTTAATTTCTTTTTTTTTCGTCTCACTCACTCTCTCTCTTTTTTAAATATTACAGTTGAAAATATTTGAAATTTTTTAAATTCATTTTAATATTAAATTTTATATATAAACTTTTTTTCTTTTTCTTTTGTTAGGGTGAAAATGGAGAATTCGTTTTTCAATTAGAAGACAAAAGTAAAGCTTTCAATATAGATCCGAAATCGGGTTGGCTTACCGTACGAGATCAAAATATATTAGATCGTGAAAAACAATCTTCTTTAAGCATGAAAGTTTACGCCATTGAAAAAACTCCTAGCGTTATAACGGATGTTAATAAAAAAATAAAAACTGCTTTTGTTTCCGTCGAAGTCACACTCATCGATGCCAACGACAACAATCCGACATTTTTACCAAGTAATTTATACGAATTTAACGTACCTGGTGATGCAAAAATTGGACATATTGTCGGACAGGTAAAATTATTTTAAATTATTTAACTGTCATTTTACGTGAACGTATCACTTATGTAATTTTTCCTTTTAAATGACGTCATCATTAATTTTTCAGGTGAAAACAACCGATCCCGATTTGGGAAATAACGGTCGCGTCACGTATAATTTTCAATATCCATCCAAGACTAATTCGAACGTCAGCAGAAAATTCGATACATTTATTATAGACTCGATAACGGGAGTCATTAAAGTCAACGAATATCCATTGGAACAAGGTAGATATGCGCTTTTTGTCGAAGCTTCGGATCAACCTGAAAATCCGAGCGAAAGAAGATTTTCATTAGCCGTTGTCACAATCGAAGTATTAAAAACGGGAGAAAATAATTTTGTACCTGATTTTATCGGAGCCCCATATGAATTTTGGGTGGGTGGTGATGTTCCTATAGGTACCAGCGTAGGACAAATTCGTGTTACCGAAGCATTGGAAAAGCATCGAGTTCTTTACGATCTTCTTCATAGCTATCAAGATGGAGGTAATCGAATGAGAAAAAAGGCGAAAGTTTAATAATAAAAGATGAAAATTTTTATTACTATTATTATTATTATTATTATATTTTTTAGTACCGTTTGCCGTTGAAGAAACGTCGGGAGTTATCAGTGTCGTTAGCGAACTTCAAAGGTTCGATCGTTTTCTTTACGATTTTGAAGCTTTGGTTACGGATGAAAAAAAAATTACCCTAGTCACAAATTTGACCATACACGTTGTCGATCCGGAAGAATATAAACAACCCATTATTCGGTATGTCACAAAAAAATTTTTTTGGAATCGTTAAAATTTTTCCAATTTACTACTTATCCGATTTTTAAACAGAGAAAATAGTGGGCCGATCGAATTGAGAGTTCGTGAAAATATGCCCAGGGCTTTGGTCGGACAAATTGTTCGACCGTACGAAAGTCCCTACACTAATAAATCCGCCTGGTGGAAATCGTTACGGTTTGTAATTGCCAATCAACCGGAAGTCGCTGATAAATTTGCAATATCATCAGACGGTACAATATATACCCAACGGGGTCTAGACAGAGAAGAAAGGGAAATTTATCATTTAGTAATTATTGTAGAAAGTACTCGTACGAGGAAAAGAACGGCTAAAGTTTATCAGGTAGTCATTAAACAAATTCGATTTAATTAAAAATTGAATTAAAAAAAAATTAAATATAAATTTTTTTTGAAGGTCACCGTTGTGGTCGAAGATGAGAATGACAATCCACCGGTATTCGAACACAATCGATATGAAGGTCACATATTAGAAAATTCACCTGGCGGAACGGAAGTGACTTTAAATCATTTCATAAAAGCAAACGATGCGGATTCGAATATTAATTCTCAATTTAAAATAACGCTTTACGGTGAGGGTAGTGACATTTTCATTTTGGATCAAGTCACGGGAAGGCTTTTTTTGAGAAAAAATATCGCATACGGACTGGACAGAGAAGAAAAACAAACGTACACGTTGAAAGTTGTAGCCAAAGACAAAGGTGAGAATCAAATGAATATTTTAATTTGAAAATCACAATTTAATTTAAATTTAATAAATGAAAATTTCAATTTTTTTAAAAGGAAATTTAAATTCCGAAGTAAAACTTACGGTGCACGTGGATGACGAGAATGACAATCCACCGAAATTTTTACAAATGGTCGTCATGCAAGATGAAGATATTGAAATTGTCGACACTAATGAAAGTAAATTAAAATTTCGTTATGCGTCAAGCGATATCGAACACGAATTACTTCAATTGGACAGTGATAATTCAGGTTCTAGTCTGAAACCATCTGTTTTATTGCCTCCCATTATTTCTCTGTCAGAAAACGTGACGGTTGGAACTTCCATAATAAAATTATTAGCCGACGATAAGGATGCCAATTCGTCCATTACTTACAAAATAATTAAAGAAGTCGTAGTTCCTTCTAACCAAATCGGTGATGTAAATACTCAAAGTAAAAAACATTTTCTTGTCGATTCGAATTCCGGTGAGGTTACGATCGCTACGAAACTTTTTCCCGAAACGAAATATCGTCTCACCGTGTCGGCATTCGATAATGGAGGATACACGGATAACGTGACACTTGTTATCTACGTGAAAGACGTGAATGATCACGCTCCCGTTTTTTCAGAATCCTCATACGATTTCGATCTTGTCGAGGGTGTTTACTCTAATCATATTTTGGGAAAAGTTCAAAGTAGCGATGCGGATTACGGAGATAATGCAAACGTTACGTACACCATTTCTTACAAAGCAGAAGAAATTCAGTTTCCGTTTAGAATTTCCGAAACGGAAGGAGAAATTTATGTTTTCGGTCACATTGATCGAGAAATAAAAGCTTCTTATATTTTTGAAGTCATTGCCAGTGACAACGCAAAAGAAGAACCGAAGCTTACGGCTAGTGTATTGGTAGAAGTACACATCACGGATATAAATGATAATCCTCCAGAATTTTTCCATTTCGATCGTTTGCTGGAACTTCCCCGATATCAACTTGAAGATTTAGAAAATAGTTCGGAGGAAGGTAGCGAAATTCTTTTGGTACCTGTATATTACGCAACCGTTCAAGAAAATACCGCTCTCGGAGTTCCGATTATTAAAATATCGGCAAACGATTCTGATTTTCCCGGAAACGGAAACGGTTTATTTTTATTTGACATAATAAGAAAAAAAAATTTTCCGACTTTTTTTGAAATAGATTCGAAAGAAGGAATTGTTGCCGTGGCCAATAAGCTCGATTACGAACATATACCGATTCATAATGTAACGGTCATCGCTTCAGATTTGGGAAAACCCAGTCTGACGTCGACGGCTTTGCTTATAGTGAGCATCATAGATGTTCCGGAAGATGATGAAGACATAAGAGAACCTATTTTCGATCATAAATATTACGAAGTAGAAGTAGAAGAAAATTTATTTCCTCCTCTCGAACTTCTCACGGTCAACGTTTCGGAAAAGTATCGAGATTTAAGAGTTAAATATTCTATCGTACCTGGTTTGGACAGCAGCGAATTCAACATAAATCCGACAAACGGAACTTTAAGTCTTTTGGTTAAACCCGACAGAGAAACAAAAGCAAAATACGAAATAAAAATAAGAGTTGATAAAATTAAAAGAGCCAGAGGAATGGTATCATTTATTTATCCTCCTCCAGCAGAAAAAATGATCGGTTTAGGTAAGTCAAGTCCTTTCAAATACGCTTTAAACAAATTTTTTTTTTACTTTTGAATTGTACATTTTTCCAACAGCAAACAACGAAGTTAAAATAATAGTGAGAGTGAAAGACGTAAACGATAACGCACCCAAATTTAAACATCATAACGTACCCATCGTTGCTGTTGTACCGAAAACTGCAAGTTACGGCTATGAAATTCTTAAACTGGAAGCGACAGACCTCGATGAGGGTCTTAACGGTGAAATACGTTATTTTATACTAGGAAGAGGAGAAGATTCGCAAAAATTCACCATCGATCCAGTGACGGGTCAAATTCGATCAATTGTCAGTTTCATGAAAGATGCTGGAAAAGTCTTCGGATTCGATGTTAAAGCCGTCGACAGAAGAGGAGCCGATGATGGTCGATCCTCTATAGCTAACGTATTCGTGAGTAAAAAATTTAAAAAAAAAAAACTAAACGTTTAAAAAATTTTTCGTTTTTAATTCTCTTTATTCTTTTTTTTTTTTTTTTTTTTGACAGGTTTACGTATTAGATAATGAGAGACAAGTTGTCATGATAGCAAAATCAAAACCGACAATCGTAGAAAAAAATATAAATTTTATTACCGGGTAATTAATAATTTTAAAATTTAAAAAAAATTAATTACCTTAAAGTACTTTTTTTCAAAATTTGATTTAAAAAATTTTTCAGAACCATATCAAACATAACGGGATTGGAAGTTGGAGCTCGTAAAATAGAACCACACATAAGAAATGATCAAGATGATGGAAAAACGACGGACGTTTATCTTTACGCCATTAATCCATCTTTGAATGTTTTGGTAGATATGGAATCTTTCCATCAGTGCGTATCAATATTTGTAAAAAATATTTACCCTCGTGAAAAATATCATTCATTTATTATTTTACATTTTTTTTTTTTTTTTTAGAATAATGAAAGATAAAAGCAACGATATAAAAAGAAATTTGGATTCTTTTAGAATAACGGATTTTGCTTATACGAATGAACCATTACCAGCAAAGCCACGCTCTCAGAAAAGTACTTTATCCGTTTTGGAAATCACAGTGGTGATACTCGGTTGCGTTGTTTTCGTTGGAGCGATGGCATCTGCCATATGTATAGGATGCATAGAAAGAGGAAAAAAAAGGTTTGCTATCGATTTCTCACATGTTTCCTTCGTTTCTTCGTTTCCTCTCAAGATGAGAGAATTTTTTACATTTTTTTAATTAGAAAAAGAAGAAAAACGTATCCGGCTCCGGAGGTCGGATTCACATTAGCCAAAGCCGTTGTTAAACCTTCTCATTTATTTCCCACGAGTGGTTTTCACGAAGGTTTGTGTCCGGGTAACGTAACGGACACATACGCGGATTTACATTCGAACAAATCAACTTTACACGATTCGAAAAGAAGATTTCGTCACGAATCGATTTATTATCGAAGTCACAGACCTGGAATGCAACGTAGACATTCACAAATGAAACCTCCTTTGGCAAGGTACGTTATTTTTTAACGAATTACAAAAAAAAATCACATTCGTAAACCGTAAAATAAATAATTTTAGGTATTTTTTACAGGTCGAATAGTCACTTTGGTAGGCTTGAAACATCGTTAACGTCACTTCATTCGAGCGGAAAGGATTCAGGTATAACTGAAGGGGGAGGAGGAGGAGGCGTTTGCCCGTGTGGCCATTCCACAAGTCCTTCTTCAGGCGACAGCACCAAGTAAATAGCGCTTCAAATCACAACTATCGTTAAAAATTTATTCTTAGTGTCATCTGTCAGAAACTTTTTTGTCAATTTTTCGCTTGCTTTGTCAATTTCTTCCATCGCTTCCATTCACACACACACACACACACAGTCCTTTTTAAAACAAAACAATTTCATGTTTACGCTTGAAAAAACACAAGAATCACTTTGAATGAAAATTTGCTCGCTCAACATTTCTCTAACCAACTTGACATTCTATGCTTAACTAATCATCATTATCAGTAATTGATAAAATTCAAAACCTTTATTTATTTATTTCACTCTTTTATTTCAATCACAATTATTTATTTAACGAATTTTTTTTTTTTTTTTTCCACGGGGCAAACAACAATCATCCTTTGTTACAAATTATATTTTTAAACATTCCAAGGGTGTAAAAAACCTCCCCCAAAAAAAAAAAAAAACTCAGATAAACTTTATCTTATTGTTTAAAAAAGAAAGAAAGAAAGAATGAAAAGTTACGCGTCATTTTCAAATTGAAAAGGAAATTAAATAAAAAACACAAAAAACTTTTTTCTAAAATTTAATTAAGTTAAACAATTTTGACAAAAAGCTCGAACGTTTTCTCGTATTGATTTTTATATTTAATACAAAAAAAAAAAAATGTTTCTAGGGTATCGGAACACAAACGAAAAAAAATGGGGAAAATTCACGTGTTACGATATGCAAAAGAGTATTTTAAAAAAAAAAACCGATGAAGAAATTTTGTTCCCTGCAAACTCCCCCCCCACTCCCACCCCCCACCCCCGCCACCCGAAAGCACATTCTCGAAAAAATGAAAAAGTAAAATCGATAATTTTTTTTTTTTTTCCCCGTAGTACGAGAGTAAAACACGGAAACATCGTTTTAAAATCATCCGTTTCCGGTTTTTTTCATCATTTTCTCTCTCTCTCTCTTTTTTTCCATACCGGAAATAATTGAAATTTTTTTTTTTTTACAGTGGGAGTTATGAGGATTCGTTAAAATCACTTCATCAAAAGGATAGAAAAAATAAAAAGAAAAATTTAGAAGAAAAAAAAGATAATTTTTGCGAAAAAGTTTTTTCGAAAAAAAATAAAACGGAATTTAAAGATGGACGTATGACGTCATTGTTTGCACCACCGCCACCGCCACCACCTCCGCCATTACCCCACGCATTATTGGCATCTTTAAGAAACATTAGGTAGTCTAAACGAAAAAAAAAAAAAAAAAAAATTACAACGAAATCGTGTGAATCGTCTAGCAGTGAATGACGGCAAGCATTTTATTTTTATTTTATTATTTTTTTTTCTTGTCTCTCATTATTTTTTGTTAAGTTGGTAGCAATGCTATGTGACCAAACTGGGCTCATTACGCAAGATTAACGTTTCACGATGCGTATAACGATTATTTTGATGATGATGAAGATAATGATAATGAATCGCAATAAAGTGAAACGGGAGTTTTAAAAAAAAAAAAAAAAAACTAATAATAATAATAATAATAATAATAATAATAGTAATAATAATAATAATAATTGTGATAGTACAAAAAGGAAAAAAAAAACGTGATCGTGACTATTATTTATGTATGTTTATAGAAAAGATTGTAGAGTCTCTTCTCATTTAAAAAAATTTTTTTTTTGTTTTTATTTACTTAACGTTTACTATTGCCACGTGTTGCCTAATAATAATAATAATTATTATTTATTAGAGGGAGTACGGGGAGAGAGAGAGGGTGGGAGGGGAGGGGCAATCGCGTAATTTTTTTATTCGTCCCTTTAATTTTGTAACGTGTGTGTATGTATATAAAAAAATTTTTTTTTTTTTTTTTTTTTAAATTTTAATTTGTAAACTCGTAAATAATAATAATAATGATAATGATGACGATGATGATGGATAATAATAATAATAATAATAATCAAAACGCGTGCAAGATAAATAAAAAAAAAATAAAACAAAAATGTCGTCGTAAATAAATAAAGTAATAATTTTTATTATTATTATTATAATTACGGTTGTTATCATTATCATTATCATTATCATTATTATTATGATTATTTTTTTTTTTTTAAATAAAAATTAATTTTTATTTGTAGGTACCCGTTTGTGGGTACTTAATAAAATTTATTTTTCAGGTTTTTTTTTTTTTTCCTGATCGAGAGAGAATGAAAAAATTTAATCCAATTTTTTCCATTTTTTTTTTTTTTAATGTTTTAAAAATTTTTAGACGAGTCGTCCGTCCGTCCGTTTGTTTGTTTGTTTGTGTTTGTTGTCGTCGACAAAAAAAAAAAAAAAAACACGTTTGTGACGTTAACGATTTCATATTATTATTATTAATAATAATTTTTTTGTTTTACGTTGTTTAACTAGATTTTCCTTGTTTGAAAATATTTTAACGGCGCAACATAAATAAATAAATAAAAATTTTTTTAAGGGTAGAGGAAAGGAGGAGGAGAAGTAGAAAAAGGAGGAGAAGTAGAAGAAGGAGGGGGGGAGGAGAAGAAGGAGAAGAAGGAGGAGGAGTAGAAAGAGGGGGAGGAGGAGAAGAAGGAGAAGGAAGAGGAGGAGTAGAAAGAGGGGGAGGAGGAGGAGTAGAAAGAGGGGGAGGAGGAGAAGAAGGAGAAGGAGGAGGAGGAGTTGAAAGAGGGGGAGGAGGAGGAGAAGAAGGAGAAGGAGGAGAAGGAGTAGAAAGAGGGGGAGGAGGAGAAGGAGGAGGAGGAGCAGTAAAAGGAGGAGAAGTAGGAGGAGTAGGAGGAAGAGGAAGAAATTTAATCGAAACGGATTAATTTTATTTAGAAAATTAATTTTTTTATTTAAAAAACAAAAAATTTCATTTTATTTAAATTTCACAAAAAAAAACGTGGGGGGAGGGGGAGGGGGGAAATTGAACGTAATTATCCGATTCGATTATTTTTTTCTTTAAACAAATTTAATTAAAATTCTAATAAATTTTTTTTTTAAATAAGAAAGAAAGAGAGAGAGAGAGAGAGAGAGGATAGGATAGACGACGTAATGGAGAAGAAGAGAAATATGATATAAAACGAATGAAAGAGAGAAGAAGAGAAGAGAAGAGAGGAAAAAAACAACAAAATCAAGCTGCTCAGATATTTTTTGAACTTGAACGGCGGTGTCAGCCAACGAACTGTTTTCGCGCAAACGTTCTCCTCTTGTGATCTAGAAAATCTTGGCTGGAATTCGAACGGCCACCACCTCGCGACCCAGAAGAGTGTCGTGTAGACTTTTTAAAATCATCGCCGTTTTGAATACGTTCGTTCGTACGTTCGTTCGTTTTTTTTTTTTTTTTTTTTTTTTAATTTCGTTAATAATAATAATAAAAGTCAAGTTTCGAACGTGGCTGGATTTTTTTATAGCAACTGACGAACGCTTGGAATTTTTTTTTTTTTTGGAAATGGAAGATAAAAATCAAATGAAAAGAAAATTATGAAGATTTTAAAAACGGTACAAAAAATACTATTATTATTATTATTAATTATTTTAATTTTTTAATTTTTAATTAAAATTCAAGATTGAATGATAATGGTAAAAAAAAATTAATTATTATTATTATTATTTTGCTATCGTTTATATTTTTGCTGTTAATTTTTTTTCTTTTTTTGATGTTGTTACGCGACGATACGTTTTTTTTTACGAAATATTTTTAAAACTTTAAATTTTTTTGCTATCAATTAAAAATAGTAATAAATGTATAAAAATCTTATGAACTATAGCAAAAAAAAAATTTTATTAATACTTTTAATTGCTACGGGAAAAAGAAACAAAAAAAAATTTACGATTCGCATCATCCGACTTTTGTTTTTTTTTTTGTTTTTTAATCGGATTTTTTATTTTATTTATTTATTTATTTATTCACTCATTTATTTTTTTTTAAACCGATAAATATTAACGATAGCAAAACAATAATAATAATAATAATAATAATAATAATAAAGGGTAATTTAATAAAATCGAGGGGAAAAAAAAATATCAATTAAATTAATTATATAAAATGTGCTTCGTTTATTTTTTATTTTTTATTTTTTTTTAAATTTTAAACGAAACGAAAAAGAAAATTTGCTGTCATTAAAATTTTTGCTAATGCATTAAAATGCAGACTACGCAAAACTAAACTAAAAAAAAAAAACTTTTTATTTGCTATAAAAAAATAGAGGGAGAAAAAAAAATAAATAAATAAATTTATAACACGTTTGAATCGTCAATTAATTTAAACGTGTGACGTCGAATACGATTTTCTATAAATGATTAATATTAATACGTTCCAGAAATATATTCCAGAATAAAATAATAATAATAGTAATAATAATAATGATGATGATGATGATAATAATTTTATGAAAATTATTTTCATTCGTTTTAAAATTGAGTTGGTTTTCGTTTGTTTGTTTTCTCAAACTCGAAATGATTACATCAAATTTCAATATTATAAAATTATTATTATTATTATTATTATTTCAAATGATTTGTGTTTTAATAACAATAGGAATAATAATGATAATTTTCTTGAGGCGGAAAAACAGAAAATTCGAAAAGAAAATATTTTTAAAATTTAATATGGGAGAAAAGGTTTAAAATAATAAAAATATTAAATATAATTGTGCCTTTTTTATTTTCAGAAAGAAAAACGTTAACGTTAGTTCGTTATATATCGACGGTTATAAAAAGGAAAAAACGTAGTCAAAAACCGGAAACGTTGAAAGAAAGAAAAAAAAAAAAATGTATCCGCCGACGCCGACCGTAGACATCCGTACGGAATTTCAGGTACGACAACATTTATCGTACGTTTACACGCGTAAAGTCGTTACCGAAGTCGGTGATCTTATTAATAATGATATTATTAACGTCGTGACCGGAAGTAACGAAAATGAAAATGTTTTGATCGGAAATAAAAACATATCGGATAACGTTTATTCGTCGTTGTCGTCGTCGGGTGGTAATCATTCCGATTATAATGATTATTTATACAGGCATTCTCCGGCTCTTACGATTGTTTATTGCGTCGCGTATTTTATAGTTTTCGCTGTCGGTTTAGTCGGTAATTGTTTGGTTGTTGCTGTCGTTTTTCGCGCTCCGAGAATGAGAACCGTTACGAATTTGTTCATCGTTAATCTCGCCATTGCCGATATACTCGTCGTCGTTTTATGCATACCTGCGACGCTTCTTGGAAACATATTCGTTCGTAAGTTTACATTATTTCATTTTTTATTCTTTAGAATATACGTTAATTTTGTAGTTGACGTACGACGATGACGTCGATGATGACGTCGACTACAATTTTAACAAGGGTGATTGTGTGCGAGATGTTAAAATGAACAACAACAACAACAAAAACATTCCAGGAACCGTTCAAATAATGATAATAATAATAAAACACGTCACCGATTTATTTTTTAACGGTTAAAAAAATAATCGTAGCAGACATTTTACTTTTCTTTTGTTTGTTTGTTTCTCAGAGATTTTTAACGATTTTTTTTGTTGCGTTCGCGGATGATAAAATAATTCACCCGTTAAAATTTTTTTTTTTTTTTTTTTTTTTTTGGGATCTCTGGGGAAAAAAGAAAATTATTTCGTGTAGTGGAAAATTTTTTTGTTGTTGTTGTTGTCGAAACCATAGACATTTTTCCATCTCAATTTTCTTTCTCTCGTTTGTCATTTCCGGTTTTATTAAACGGAAATTCGAATGGATTTTTTTTTTATAGTTTGAAACGTTGACTTTATAGTCACAGGTGGTAATAAAAAAATAGTTTGAAAAACATTAATTAGTTTTTTGACACACGAATTGAAAATTTACAATATGGCCGACTGAAAACTTTTCATAAACTTTTCATATATGTGAAAAACTTTTTTTGAATTTTTACTTTTTACAAAATTTATCGATTTTGGGGGAAAAAAATTTTATTTTTTTTATTTTTTTTTATAAACGACCGATGGAGTTAATGATGGAATTTGAATCGTAGCAAAAAAAATTGAAAAACTTTGACCCCATTTTTTTTTTTTTTTTAAAGAAATTATTCGGTCAACGATTTTGTTTTCAATGAATTTTCTTTTTTCTTTTGAAATCTTTTTAGAATGTGTAGGATGGATGCCCACGTTTTTTTTTTCTTTTCCCGTTTTTTTTCTCCAGTATTAATTAACGCGATGGAATATTTTTCCTTTCTGGAAATTTTTATTTATATATATATATATAAAAATTAAACTTTCAATTTTCTCAATTGATACAAACAGCAAAAAAGAAAAATTAAAAACCTTCTGCTTTTTATTTATTTTTCATTCAATATAAATAAATAAAAAAAAATTTCCATTCAAATTTCAAAAAAAAAAAACTTTTTGTTGTTGTTGTTGTTATCAAAAACTTTCCATTTCTTTCTTTTTTCTGATTGGTTAATTTTTTTGTCGTCTGCTTTTTCCCTTAATAAAATAAATATTATCCAACGAAAGGGAATGTAAGGTAAACGGTAGTAAAATTTAATTATTTCAATTAATCCGACCGTTTGTTTGTTTGTTTGTTTGTTTGTTGATTGTCTCTTTCGTTTGTTTCGTCTCCCTCCACCCGCTCCCTCCCCCTCTTTAACACGCGTCATTTATTTTTTACGTGCTTTTAAACGTGCTTTCATTTAATTCTAACAAATTATTTTACTTTTTTTTTCTCTCTTGTCATTTACTCCCCACTTTCTCTCTCCAATAAAATTTAAAATGAAAAAAAATCGTAAAAAGTAGGACGTTTTTATGTTGTTTTGCTTTTAGGGTTCGTGGGGAGCCCCCCCCCGTTTTATTTTTTTATTTTTTTTAAATTTAAATTGATTTAATTTTTTTATTTATTTCGGTTAGATTATTAATTAAATTTAAAAAATTATTATTTAAATTTTTTTTTTTTTTTGTAAATTATTTTTATTTGATTCAAACGCATTCTGGAATATTTTTTAAGTTAATTTCTGGAAGTTTCTGGATTTTTTTTTTTTTTAATGTTAAAAAGGATTAGTTTATTTAAATCTTCAGTTGGCCTAAAAAAAAAATTTTTAGACGTTTCAAATTTCTTTTTTTTTTTTTTTTTTGCAAAAAAAAACATAATAATAATAATTTTCCTCCCCTCTCCTCCCCCCTCTCCTCGTTATTTATATGGGTTAACTTGTCCGTGACATTTTTTGCCCTTGGATTTCCCCCCTTCCCCCTTTCTCCCCCTTCGTTACGAACGTATAATTTTTTTATTTTTCATATATATATATATATATATATTTTTTTTTTTTCTCGTGTTTTATTATTATCATTACTATCATTATTTTGTTATTATTATTATTATTATTATTATTATTATTATTGATAATAGTCATTTCAAAGCTATAAAAAAAAAAAATAAGAAGAAGAAAAAGAAATTATGTGGAAAAGATCATAAAAAAAAAGAAAAAATACTTCATTTACATCTATTATAATTTGACTTTTATTATTATTATTATTATCATTATTATCATTTATATACATATAATGCATTATTTATTCTTTAAAAAATTTTAATAATAATTATTATTATTATCATCATTATCGTAATTGGGTTGCTTGATAAGATTTCAGGGATTTTGAACACCACAAACTTTTATAAAACGTGATTGATCAAAACGAAAGGGGAATGATTTTGTTTTATCGGGAGAGGGGTGTTAGGAGGGCGAGGAGAGGGAAGATTGGAAAACACAAAAAGGAAAAGAAGTGAATAAATTGGTGGTTTCCTTTTCCGGTTTATTTTATTTTTTATATAAAGGGAAAAAAAGGGTTTTCGTACGTCAAAAAAAATTTTTTTCCTCCTCTCTTCTCCCCGTTTTCAGTTTTAAATAATTAAAAAAGTGAAAATTCGTTCGTTTGTTTGTTTGTTTGTTTGTTTGTTCTCTTTTTTGGAAAAAAAGGAAATTTCAAAAAATTTTCCACGTGTTAAATATTTTTTTTTTTTAAATAAAAAATTTCAGTTTGAAAAAGTTAAAAAAAAAATTTTCCAATTTTCCGTTTTCTTTTTGTATAAACTAACGGAAATAATTCACAGAGAAAGAGATAGAGAGAGAGAGAGAGAGAGAGAGAGAGAGAGAGAGAGAGAGAAAGAGAAAAATCATAAGAGCGTTTCCGTTTCCGTTAAATCGAAAAAAAAAAAAAATTGGGACCTTCGAATGGTCAATTAATTTAAATAGGTTAATCAAAATTTAAAAATAAGAGTTTTTTTTTCATTTATTTATTTATTTATAAGTTACGAAAAAAAAAAAAGGAAAATTTCGTGATTTTCTAGAATGTTCTCTTTAGCCGAAAGAAAACAAAACAAAAAAAATTACACGCGATTCGTATGAATAGAAAAAAATTCTCGTTAAAAAAAAAAAAATTAACATTTTAGCCTCCGGTCTTGTTTTGTTTCATCTCAACAAAATCAATTATTAGGTCAGTTAACATTAAGGGCAAAATTTTTGTTTTTTTTTTTTTGTTTTGATTTCTTTGTTTAAATTCCGTTACGTAACCTTTTTATAAAATTTTTTGCATTCTTCCCTGCCCCCTCTCCCTTCCTCCTCTTCACCCCTTCTTCCCCTTCTTCCTTTCTTTTTATTTAAATCGAAAAAACAAACAAACAACAAACGAGATATTATACGCATCACGCAACAAGTTTTTTCTTTAAAAAAAATTTTTCCTTTTTAAACTTAATAACAAACGCGGTTGTTATAATAATAATAATAATAATAGTAATAATAATAATAATAATCCTTTTTTTTATACATCGACAATCGAGTTATCATTATTATTATTATTATTATTCTTTATTCCCTTTTTTTTTTCTTTTTTTTTTTTTTTTTTTTTACTTTTTCATCCACAGAATTTTTCAAATCAGACGCTTTTATTATTATTATTACTATTTTTTAATTTAAAAAAAAAACACGATGATGATGATAATAATAATAATAATAATAATAATAATAATAATACACAAATAAATTTAGTTATTGGTTCAAGGTGAATTTAATTTTTTTAAGATGAACCCTTTTAGTTTTGATTTAATGATTTCAAGGATGTTCATTTAAAAAAAAAAAAAAAAAAAAAAAAAAATGGGGTCGGAATCCCTATACTTCGAACAAAAAGAAATTTTTTTTTTTTTGTTTTCCCCCGGAAAATTTTTTTTTTTTT